CCCCGGGTCCCGATCCGGACTGTCCGGTGATGTCCGGATTACCGGACAGTCCGGACCGGTCCAGACACTGGTCCGGAAGACAGTCCGGAAGTGTCCGGTGTCCAGGTCCGGGGTTACCATGTTTAATTACTAGTTTTATTTTCTGAATTTTATTTTTATTTCGAATTTGGTAAGGAATTTGGATGTAATGCTCAGGCAAATGTTGTTTATTTTATTTTTCTTCATAACACGTTTTTTTTGGATTTTTTTTTCCCCCCGGGTCCGCGTTTTGCCCGAGCGGCCGAACGCATCCCCAACCGGTCCCGTACGTTCGGGCGTTCGGGCGTTCGGCCTGTCCTGAACGCCGGTTACGCTGCCTGTATTAGCTTGGTTCAGACTTTCATGACCTTCAGGATATCCGTTAAAATTGGTTTGATACACAGAAGATTAGCATGACCCCTGCGCAAGGATGACAGGCATAAATCAAGAAACGGTCCAAGATAGCAGCAGTGGGGCCACGCCCATACGCCCGACAACCAGCACCTCGTCCTGAGAAGCAGCAGACATCATACCTGTGTGACAAACACCATGTCTGACACAAGTGACAGGCCATCCAGCTTCAGTTGCGAAATATATGCTTGAAGGAGGACATTGATCTTTGCACTTGGCTCCTCAAGACTCTCTTTCACTGGAATCGGAACTCTTTCCAGTAGCTTTGCCAGCTCAATCTTCTCCTCTTCTCGCACAGCCACGTACTTGAACTCGTCGCTCAGTGAGAACAGACGGCACAACTCAATCTCTCCCATCGTTGGCTTCTCAACAAACACCCAGATGGATAGACAATGAGAACACACATAAGCATTGCGAAATAACGCTCTATGTACAGGGTCAAGAAGACAATGAACTGTTCCATAGTATCCATACACCTTCAGTTTCAATTCTCCCTCTTTCTTCCAAGAAAATAACATATACGTTGATAGGACTGCACAACATGCACCACAGCAGGAATAACCTGCAAGAAACCATGGTTTTGCAGTACCAGACAACAGTACTATACCTGTGAACAGTGTGTTTTGTGAGGTTTGATTGTTTGAATTCTGTCCTCGTTATTTTGAGACGATGTGTGTGTCCAGTTGATTTGTTTTTGACAAAACTGGCATTTAGAATGCCGGTAGGGAGCTTGAGGGTTAGAATCTTCTTGATCCTTTTCATCGTTTACATTGTCCGTAGCCAAGTCGGGTGATGCCCCCGATAGTTCATGTTTTCTGTATTTCTGTAAGGGACGCTGGGCCCGGTTCAGAGCTGTGTTTGCTCCCCATGAATAGACTGGAGCATCGTCCATTTAATTAAAAAAAAAAAAAAAATGCAAGTCCCACTACCCAGGTAAATTTGTAAATACTTTTGCCAAAACGGATTTGGCCAAAACGGATTTGACCAAAACCTGGTAGGCCGAAAAATCACGCAGCATACAGAAAGTTCTGGTACCTCTACACCCTATCTGGAAAGCGGCAGAGAATGGTGGTAATGGCCCACGGACGTTCTGTCCGAGCCCAATTCCTGAAAACGGGCCAGGCCCAGAGAGTGGCTGACTGACTAGCCAACAGTATACAAGGCCAGCCAGTACAGACCCTTGCACACTGGTTGATGCCGCCAGGCTGGCCCAACGCTGACTGAAGGAAGTCGGACTTGTGCACCTTGACCACTGGAGAACACTCATCAACGTGTGCAAGCCTGCAGCTGCAGGAGCCGAGCTATGGCAGTAGGAGGTTAGCATTAGCCCGGCATGGGCAAGAAGTCAATAGGTGCATGTGATTCTCAAGTGACAATCACACGAGATGCTATGGTGGATAGAGAAGAAGACTAGAAAAGACTTGAACACTGTTCTTGAGGCGGTTTCTGGCTGTCAACTTCTCGGACTACTGGACAATGTTGATACTTGTGGAAGGCGTTAAGGAGGTTGAGAGGAGGGACTGGAGTTGAGTTGGAGGGACTGGAGTTGAGCTGATCTCTATTCTACTCTAATCTATGTGTGTGTTCCACAAGTGATTTGCGAGAGATGATTGCTGTGTTGTTATGTACCCGATTGAACTTCAATCCACAACGAATTCACACGTTCCCATACACGCATGCAATTGCAGAGTAGACTCGAAGGAGGAAAATCCGCACAAAACCGGAGAGAAAATAGGCACAGCGGAAGCTCAAAATACACGGAGAATTGAAAAACGAATTTCAATTCTGTAATCCCCCATCCTCCTCCAATCAATCCAGCGTACTTGTTCCAACAGTCACAACCGCATTTACAACAATCCCGAACAACCAGAAACAAGTGTTCACCGAAGTATGCAGGAGTCTTCTTCTTCCTCATCGCCACCTCATACCCCTGGCTATGGCTGCCGTAGCAGCAGTAACCCCACAGCTGTCACAACGTACCAATCTGAACCAGCAACCCCAATGATAACAGCACCAGCTCAGCACCCGCACGGAAGTGCAGTGCTGGAAGTCCTGTTGAAGAAGGAGACAACTGATCCAGCACTTTGAAGAAGACGAAGTTCCTCGAGAGGAGGAACAGCGGATATGGCTGCCAAGTGGAAGATGGCAGCACCCAAACCCAACAACACAGTCCTGTGGAAGCTCTCGTGCAGAGCTGCTAAATAGCAGCAGTGCGATCTTCAATTTCGTTTCCCAGCCCCAGCTATGGCTGGGCTTCGAGGAAGAAGATGCCCTCGCCCAAAATAACGCAGCAACACTCCAGCAACGGATGGGCAGAGTTTCCCCAGCAAAAACGAGATGCAAAAGACCCCAAACTAATTTTCTGCCCGCTACTTCTCCCGGACTAGACCTACAAGAGCAACCTATGACTCCCCTATACCTACCCAGCAAACAGGAAAAGGGGGACCCAAACCTATGACAGGGCAAAAGAAAAGGCCGAATGGCCTAAGACTACCAAACAGAGATCACTAGTGGCAGACTCAGGGATAAAGTCCCAGGGAACACAACACTGGAGATGGAGAGTACAGGGGACACAACACTCAGCGATCAAGTCCCAGGGGACACAACACTGGAGATGTTGAGTAAGATCAGATCTGATTTCACTTTCCTCTTCTCTTTTAACTGGAGATGGAGCGTACAGAGCTGATCAGACTCTTCCTCAGACAAGGGCTCATCCAAGAAAGGTTGTGTGTACGCATACAGTTGCAGCCTCACAACAATCAGGCTCAGAGACTGATTCACCTTCAAAAGAGGGTGAATGCAGTTCAGTAGGGGTGGCTGCTACCTCTGTTGGCCTGTTCAGTTTCTTGAACTGTTAGTGCCCCAAGTGGGGTAGTCCTTCACAAAGTGCTTCTTAGCACATTTGAGGCAAACTCCCTTATCCTTTCTTTTTTGCCATGTCCCCTCAGCAATCTTGAGATTTCTCCAGGGGAAAGTGGCAGGATCCATGGGATTAGTTTGACAGGTGGCACCCTTTGGGAGATTTGGTACATGTGGGCCACCTGGGCGTTTGCCTAAACCCTTAGGATTGGAGGGCCTTTGTGGTTGAAACTGACTTGTGCCTCTCATCAGGCTCATCAGAGTCTGACCCAAAAACAGGGCAGCCCGATCTGGTGTGGCTCCTGCATCTAGACCAGCTCCCTGGTCAGAGCCTGCAGGGTCATCATCAGATCCTGCAGCATACAATCCTCCCTTTCCCTTTATCCTGTTCTCGGAAGAGGAGGTGCTTCCCTTTTGGGAAGAGGTATGGAGATGGAGTGTGGCCTCCATGTCCAGCCCTGCCCTGCCAAATGACCTCCTGTCTTTGTGGCCTGCAGTAAACAGGACCTTGGCATATGTCTCTGGAGCAGCTCTGACAAACCATGTCAACTTATCTGGTCAGACATTTCCAAAACTAGTGTGGAGGTTAGTTTCTCCCACTCTGCATAGAGCTTGGAGAGTGATCCATGCCACTTACGTTGGCCTAGTCTCACAGTGTGGAGGTTAGTTTCTCCCACTCTGCATAGAGCTTGGAGAGTGATCCATGCCACTCACGTTGGCCTAGTCTCACAGGCTCGTCATTTGTTTTGCAGGCCTTTTCCTTATCTGCAAACCCGATTTCCAAACCCTGAAAGATCGCATCCAGACCAGTGACAGCAATCCAATCATCCAGCTGCTTTTGGGGCTTGCTGGCCTCAAAAGTTGCTCACTTCAGTGCAGCCCCTGCCAGGAGGGCCATTGTGGCACGTACCTTGTCCACCTCTGGACAGGTATAGCCCCTGAGGTAGGACCTCATCTGGGCTATCCAATCTGAGACGTCCACTTTGGGGTCTTCCCCAATGAACTTCTCAGTTTGGGCCATCTTGGGGAATTGCAGTTCCGACTGCACACTGCTGGAACTCGGTTCCCCTGTGGGCGCAGTCCCTGAGATTCGCGCCACCTTCTCTTTTGGAGGAGGTGGTGACGTCTTTGGAGAGCCAGGATGGGATGGTTGTGGTGTGGGTGCCGGAGGAGGGCAAAGAGGAAGAGGGACAGTAGGATGAGGAGAGGGTGCAGGAGTAGGAGGGAAATGCCAGAAGGACGCTGTTGACAACTTTTCCAGCTTGCTGTCAAAGGATAACAGCTGGAACTCACTGCTCAGATGACAACTTTTCCAGCTTGCTGTCAAAGGATAACAGCTGGAACTCACTGCTCAGATCCGTTCATCCCAAGATGTAAAAACATCCCGATTGTGAGCGGATTCCAGCGGCAGCAACTCTGCAAGATTTCGCGTTACATCAACCAAGCGGGCGTCAGCAGGGACCTTGGCAATACTATCCAGCAGCTCAGACCTTCGGGCTGCTTCTTCTCCTCTCATAGTTGCCTCTGCCTTCTCCTTTTTAATTCTCTCTATTTCCCGAACTGCATCTGCAGCAATTCTCAGCTGCTTCCACGGCCGCGTCCACGACTTCTTCCTCAATCAACGGTTTCTGTTCTTCCCTGGCTGGCTCAGGCTTCACGGACGTATCCCCGCCTTCGTCATGTCCCTTACCCTTGTCCTCATTGGCCATAATGGCCTTCTCAAAAAATTATTTGTCAGTAAAGCTGAGTAAACAAATAAAAGTAGAATACTCAGATTACCATTCACACTCAGAACTCAGATATATATTAAACTGTGTTGTTTAATGGTATGGGGAACACAGCAGGCTAGTGCCAAATGTTAAGGGACAGTATGAGAGGTTATGGGCTCAGCCAAACAGCCAAAACCACCAACTGATTACTTTAAACTAAGCCCACAGCAAGGAGAGAGAGACTTTATTTGTGCAATCAGGGGAAAAAAAAAAAGAACCGGAACGGATTTCAAAAACCGCCAGTGCAGACTGCCATTACCGTTCTAATCAAAATGGAATATCCAATTTCACTGATGTACTGACTGACCTCTGGCGCAGACAGGAAGTCATTATTACGAACTGACCAATTTCTGACTGCCAATGACCACTGCCAACTGACAGGACTGACCGACAGACCAACAATAAATTTTGGCTGCCACACACAGAACCAGGTAGGCAATCAAAGCATGTAAGGGTCGGTGGGATGCAAAAAAAAAAAATTGTTCAATTAGAACAGATTCAGAGAGGGGTCAGAAACAACCTGAAAGGTGATTGGCGACCTATCTGACCGATACTGCACACAGACTAACGACTGACGGACAATGACAGATACTGACAGGGTCTGACTTCAGGTCATGCGATCTTCGAAACGAACTCACTCAACCAAAACTTGGCTGAATATTTTTGGTTGGTCAACAGTGGTCCAACCACTGTTGCGGAATATTGTAAACCAGTCTAACATCGACATCAGACCTTCAACGAAGATTCCCCTAGTCTTCCAATCAAGTAACTCGTCGAAGTAACCGCAGCCGCCCGAACAGACCGCCAACAGGCAAGGCCTGTAGAGTCGTGAGGCCCTCGGGTCAACCACACCATTTAGGGTTGACGCAGCGGTCAACTCTGCTCTCGCCAGCTGAAACTTCTAGTGAACATTCCACCACTCCGTATCATTTTTTTTATTTTTTTTGATAGCGGTAATTCTTCCCCCTCACACTACCTTCCACCACCTCTCATCCACGACATCCGTTGAAGAAAGCAGACAACAAGTCCCTACTCCAACCACCGCTCAGAAAGGAGGTTGTCGCTCAATTCCTCGCCGGTTGCACACGGTGTCACACTTTTTTCCAATCGAGCCACTTCAGGCGACCGAAAAGTCAACAGGCTGTCACACAGGATTTTGGTGATCTTTACAATGAGTAAAATAAATTAAATAAAGCAAACGCCTTCCTGTTGTGTGCGTCCAGCTTTGAGCGAGACCCTTCAATTGTGGTCTTCGCCGGTCCCCGGTCTTAGGAATCTTTTAGTTTGATTTGGAACAGCAAAGATTATGCAAACAATAATCATGAGATTCAAGTGTGTCATGCATGTATCAATTTTGCAAATTTGCTAATTTTGAGAACTGTGACAAGATCATCAGAAAGCACAATCATCAAACAAACTCAATGCAAATGAAGCAAGATTGACTGACTCAAGGTCGAGACAAGATAAACGAGGGAAAAGTCAACTCGTAATAATCTCAGGAAAGTACAGATGAATAGACACGGCCAGCACTAGTCAAGAGTCCTCACTCATCCCTTTAAAGTCTCAACATTGATCTCTCGTTTTGGCCGTGCGTCTCTTGTGCCTTGAGCTATGCCTATGTACTTCCCGAGATTGAGGCTTCTGAATGTAAAGCCACTTGAAGCCTGCAAGCTCCGAACACTTCCAACCGAGTCCCATTATGCGAAAGCCAACCATAGCGCAAACTCCTCCCATAGAGAAGCAAGGTATGGCTGAGAGAAGATTCCTCGTCTGAGATGCCGTAATCCATCTTTGCTGGAAAAATATACCTCTTGGCCAGATGTACCAAGTCACCCCAACGAGAGTCGTCCGTGAGGAGAAAAGGGACATCAGGTCTGGGATAGTCCGTGTAGAGCTTGGGTTCAAAGCTGCGGACCAGCTTGACGTCGCTCTCATCCAGTTCCCTCTCTTGCCCCTCAAGATATCTGGCGGTTGAGACCCAGATTGAGTCGAAGTGCTCATGGGTTTCTTTACCCTTCTTCAGAAAGGCCCTCAGGTCATGGATGGTACCTTCCACAAACTCGGACTGAACCACCAAGACAGACAGGTCTCCCTGTCTGAAGCCAACCGCACTGACATACCAGTACCAAAAAGCATCTTTGGAGGCGATCCTGTTGAGACCGGTCAGGACTAATTCCCTTACATGTGATGACCAAATTGCACTCGTAAATAGGGATGAATATTGAGGCTTGTCTCAACTTTTCTGACGAGGGCGCCAAACTGACCAGTGCTGATCCCTGTCTCTTAATGAGGGCACACTGCCTGGCTGATACTGATCTCAGGAGCAAATCAGACTGACCAAATGATGGACGTCTCTGACTGGATCTCTTGGGTAATTCAAATGGTTGAATGTTACATGAATACCAAGTCACTGAATGCGGATCTCTTAGTAGTGGAAACGCTAAAAGGACTGTTGATCGCTGGTTCAATTTAAAACGACCGGGTGCAGACTGACTCACTGAAGATTTCAGGTAACTTGGATAACTGAGTGTTGACTGAATATTTATTGAATACTGATTGAATGTTTTCCCTCACATCTGGTCTCCGAGTGTTGTCATGTGACTCTCACTCTGTCAGCTCGTCTTTGCTGTATTACACAAGCATTTCATGAAATACTTCCTCTTTCATTTGGTTACAAACGATCTCCCGTGCGCGATCAATGGTTTCAATGGACGAGAATGTGTTGTGTAGTCTTCCGCTCGTTCTGCGAAAATAGAAGGTATACGCAATATAATTTTGACCCCTCACTAGTTCCAGTGGGCTCACTCTCACTAGTTCCCAGCTATGCTGAATGTCTTTGATTGCCTTTTCCTCCCAGCCGTCCTTTCTGTCCCGATAGAGAGCGCAGGTCATCTCCAAGTTGCCTTTATTCTCCATGGTTTTCTTTTCATACCTGACCTGTGGTCGGGATGGAAGCGAACGGAGCAGCGAATGGGTGGTCGGGATGGAAGCGAACGGAGCGGGAAGGTCCTGGATGCTGGGCGTGGTTTGGAGGTGAAGAAGAGAGAGAGAAAGACTCACTTGAGTCACCCATGTCGACGAAGTGTCCAACCAACAACGTGCAAGCCTTCGACCCAGCCGTCCATGTTCACCAAAGTAGACAAAGCCTCAAGCTCAGTAGCACGAATCCCCGTCGAAGTTCACGAAGCGTGACGCACCAAGTTCAGGGAGCGAATAACGGGAAAGAAGAAGAGAGGAGAGAGAAGCGCGAGGGAGAGGGGCATCAAAGCACGTAGTAGCACGAAACACCACGTTCAGAGTGAGAGAGAGAGACAGACAGGAGAGGGAGAGAGAGAGAAAGATGAGAGAGGAGTCGTGCGTAGCACACAGCTCCAAGCACGTTGCACCATTCATAGAGCCGATTCATGTAGCACGACAAGTATCAAGAATCCGTAGAACCAATTCACGTAGCACATCGAGGGTAGCACCAATTCACATAGCACATCAAGCATAGCGCCAATCCACGTAGCACCCATTCACAAAGCATGAAGCACACAGCACATCACACCAAAAGCACGAAGCACCAATCCACGCTGGATGGGGGGGAGCTGGGGGTGGGGGGGGCGAGCGAGAGAGAGAGAGAGCGCGCGTGGCACTCTGTGCAAATTTGTTAGCACCTAACACTTGGCCCGTTGCACGAAACATGTAGCACGTAGCTCCAAGGAAGCACGTAGCACAGAGAGAGAGAGAGAGGAGAGAGGGAGAGGAGTTCCACCAGTTTGTAGCACTCAGCTAGTAGCACTTGCACACGTAGCACCTGACTCGAAGCCCAAAGCACGGAGCACGTAGCTCAAGCACCAAGCACCAAGCATGGAGCATGTACCATCAAAGCCCAAAGCACGGATGCACAGAGAGAGAGAGAGAGAGAGAGAGAGAGAGAGAGAGAGAGAGAGAGAGAGAGAGAGAGAGAACGCAGTAGGTATGTCGCCAGGTAGGTCGTGTACGGCAGGTAAGTCCGGTAGTGCAGGTAGGCCGCGTAGATAGGTCGTGCTGACAGGTACGCCGCGTGGGTAGGTCGCATTGGGCAGGGAGGCCCGGTACTGCAACAGGCTGCATAGGGTAGGTCCCATAGTGAGGTAGGTCCGGTAGTGCAGGTAGGTCGCATGCGGTCGTGTAGGGCAGGTAGGCCCAGTCGTGCCTGTTTGGCAGTTGATAGTGAAGGCAAGTCGCATAGGGTGGTGCCAGCCAAAAGGGCCCTTTCGCACGAACGGGCGGCCTGCAGGCCGATGAGAAAAAAATTATCATCGGCCAGTGATCCGTTCGTGTGGACGGCCCAGATCGCAGGCCGATCGGAATTCTTTCTGATCAGCATGAGGTCTGTGCCGTCCGCAGTTGTGATCGGCCTGCAATCCGAGCCGTTCCTTATGACGAATAATGGTTTCTATAGTATTGTAGAAATTGAAGAGGAGGGGGTTATGACATCCTTTTTTCTTTTTTTTACCCAAAAGAACACACACTTGCCCCTTCTATTGTGTGAGGCGGCAGTCCAGTTGTTTATACATGTGCATTGCTTGTTGACTTTCACGACACAATGTTGAGTTGCGGTTCATCTTTTGGCTCACCATTTTGGAATAGGTGCGAACATTTAGAGAGTAAAAGCAATCAGAGGTACAATACCTGCCACAACCATTAAAAAAAAGGAAAAACAGAATGGAACTCGAGGGATCATAGCAAAATTACACAAACACATATCTATTATCTATAGCTATTCCGGTGATTTGTCGTTTGACTGCCCTGTTTTCACATGGAGTTACGATGCGAGAAGTGTGAGAATTGGAGGGGGAGAGAGAGAGAGAGAGAGAGAGAGAGAGAGAGAGAGTTCATGACACATACCTTCAGGTGCTCATTGAAGGTTGAGATCGTATTGTGTGTGATGTAGTAGTAGCTGGCAATACGACCAAGCTCTGTCACTTGGAAGTACCCTGTCTTTCGATCATATTTCACAAGGTTGTTTTTGTCCAGAGTTGTTGCAGCTGAGTGGATCTGCACCCAGGACACATGGACGACCATTGAATTTACAAGATGCGGTGAAGCCAGTCAGAAAACAAGCATTCTCCCATAACAAAGAAAAACACAATTACAAGATGGCAGGAAACGACAGAGAGAGGGAGGGAGGGGGGGGAGAGAGAGCACATGGAAAACAGGGTGCACAAAGAGAGAACAAACTCGTGCTTGATAGGACCATAGGCTGTCCGGAAAATCGGCCTAGGTGTATAGCGAATAGGGCAACACACACACACACAGACACACACACACACAACACACACACACACACACACACACACACACACACACACAACCATGCCTGAAACTTGTTAAGAGGGACAAACCTGGCAGACTTCCGAGGTACAGTAGATGGCCACAGATTTCCCATCCACTGTCAAAATACAGTAAATAGCCAGATAGTTAAACGTACACTAGCTATCACATTGCACAAATCCGTTGCCATATAACAATAAACCACAGAGCACATCCAGAAACAAACATGGAAAAATAGCAGACAAGAACAGCGAAAGGCAAGACCGGAAAGGCATTTTCTTTCTTCGTTCATTTCTCTTTTGCCTTTTGTTCGTGTTCCAGCTTAAAGGTTCCCCTCATTCGCATGGTTAAGCAGGACAATGATTAGCCCGAGTTTTTGCTTGGCACCGTTCACCTGCCTGTGTTCTTTCCTGGTCTCTTTCTGAACAGACTGCACAGGGTCAGCAGTAAACAAAGCAGTCTACGCAGTCTGTGTAGCAATCTATGCAGTCTATGTAGCAGTCTACGTAGCAATCTATGTAGCAATCTATGCAGTCTATGTAACATTCTATGCAGCAGTCTGTGCAGCGGTCTATGAATCAACAGCAGCCTATGCATAGGCTGCATAGACCGCATAGATGTCTGGGACTTACCAGATCCGCTCGCCAGTCTTCAAGCACTTTGTCAGTCGAGGTGACTCCATAGAGCGATGGGTTACGAAGCATTCTCACGAATAGGTAAGTGTATCCAAGCCATGTACATGCTTCACGTGCATTCTGTACAGTGCCAAGCACAATCTCTGCATTCAAGTTATCAGCAAGCCGGGAAATGAACTGGGACTCGATGGGCAGCTGCTGGTTCATGAGTGACAAGTAATACTGCAGCTCACTGTGGCCAGTGATGATGATGCCCTGGCCGTGAGTGTCATACTGGGGCCGGCCTGCTCGACCCAGCATCTGCATGACATCCAAGGGGCTCAGTTCGCACCAAGCACCCTTCTCCGGGTTGTAAACTTGAGTTCCCTTGATGATGACAGCATGTGCAGGAAGGTTGACTCCCCATGCAAGGGTGGCAGTGGATACAAGCACCTTGATATCTCCATCAGCGAATAGATCTTCAACAAGTGTCCTGTCAACACGTGCCATACCAGCATGATGAATTGCAAACCCATATGGTAACAGGTCACGGAGCTCTGCACTCTTCACACGCTCACACTCCATTTGCAGAATTTCTCGACTTGCGCTGTCCTCCTTAAGGAACTTCCCAAGCGTGTCCTTTGCCAGAGCCGAGTCCCGGATGAACCGTGCCGTTTTCACTGTTTCCTTGCGTGAGTGGACAAAAATGAGGACCTGGTATCTCCCTGCTGCGTCCATTACCTTCTCGTAACAGATCTCGTTCATCAACTGGAACCTCTGGAGAGGCTTCTTCACCGTGATACCGATATATTGTTGCTCAAGTGGGCATGGTCGGTAACTGTTGTCAAATTTGAACAGACCCTTGCCCCTTTCCACACGGAGGAAAGTTGCAACATCCATCTCATTCGGCAGGGTTGCTGACAGACCAACCAACCTAATCATGTCCTGTGTTGCCTCTATCTGCCGCACAGTCCTGGCGACGATACTTTCCAGCACAGGCCCACGGTTATCATGAAGCAAATGAATCTCATCGATCACAAGCAGCTTCACCAACTGTGCATACGTTCTGTCGCCACTCTTTCGTGTCACAATGTCCCACTTCTCCGGAGTCGTCACAATGACCTGCGTCTCATCAATCTGCTGACGTGTCAGTGTCTGATCTCCTGTCAACTCTCTCACTGTCAGACCATAGTCCTTCAGTCGATTTGACAAGTTTCCCACCATCTCCGCAACCAGCGCCTTCATTGGGGCAACGTACACAATCTTGAACTTGCTTGTATCTATGGTCCCATCCTCTCGCCGATGCACTCCAATAACTTGAAGAATCGCAAGCATGGCAACATTCGTTTTTCCGGCACCAGTTGGCGCACACAAAAGCATGTTCGACGAAGTGTAGAAAGTTGTTTCAAACACTTTGCTCTGGATGCGATTAAGCGTTTTCATGTCCCCAAACGCAGGCTGGGCCCATTCTGGCAGCTCGCTGATCTTCACCAGCTTCTCAGTTTCGGCAAACGCCTTGGGCTTCAGCGCCGGCACAAAAACCTCTTCATACCCTTTCTTTGGAGTACGGTAAGACCCTGGCGGCAGTTCACATTTCTTATTTGCCATGAGCAGACCGCCTTGATGGAACGAAAGGGAGTCAAGGTCAAGCAACTGACGCTGACCCTGAACCCACCCTTGGCTGTCTCCAACCAATCCGGCAGAAGCAATTCCAGAGCCTCCACTGCTGGAGCCACTGGCACCTCCACCTCCCCCCGCAGCTCCTACAGCAGCTCCACCTCCAACCCCAGCATCCTTCTTCTCTTCTCCCACTACTCCCCCATCCCTCAGTTTCCTTGCTTCTTCCCTGATGCTCCTCTCGAGATTCTTTTGACGCTCTTTTGCAGTTGCCCTGGTTGCGTGAAGCTGGTCGAGAATGGCAGACAGGTCAGGATCTCTTTCCATCTCCGCCTCGATGGATTTCCTCTCCTTTTCGTCCCTCGCCCTTGCCAGTCGTGTGCACCACACGACCTTTAGCTTGTTTTTTAGCAGAAGCTTGATCAAGCCAAACTTATCGTAGTGCAGCTCTTCGACCAAGCGATTTTCCACATGCCGATCATCATCCTCTGCCAATGTCTTCAACACATCTTCCGCCAGCTTTTGGCTTGCTTGAGCGTCAATTTGCCCATGTGCCTGTGAGATCTTGCGTTGCAACCAGTATGCGTCAATGTCCTGAACATTTATCCCCACTTCCTGCCCAAGGTCCTCATCGTCCAAGTCCCCTTCCATCTGCATAGCCTGTGCCTCTGCAGTCTCTTGGCCATCTTCGTCACCCTCCTCTCCCTCACTGTCACCCTGCTAAAGGCCAATGCAAGGCATCTTATGTCAGTTATGCACTGCCTATGGTCATGTCTGTCAAGCACATCACCATTCTCTTCATCTCAAGTACACAAGCAACTCGCACATACCTGATCTCGCAGCAAATGGTATACATCCTGGCTGCAGTATTGGATTTTGTTAATTCAGGAAACATAAGTGGTTCTAAAACAGGAAACCCAACCCTCGGGTGGTTCGCAGAGAAGGTCATTTTCCCTCGAGCAACAATAGTCTGGGTTGGCTGGTTCTTTTCCACCCAAAAAAAGAAAGCAGGCCTAGGGCATACTCACACTATTGCAAGGATTTTGAGCAATGTAATTGACTGTAACCAGAATGCAAACATTCCATAAAAGTCCAGAACTCAGAAGCGAAAAGCAAAAGCAGAATGCACCAAGATATCACACCAAAAGAAGCAACGAGCAGTGAAAAACAAACGATACTGTCAGCAGAGTCCTTCGCTTCCACCACCAGCACCCATACAAGTCTCATCATACTGGCGCTCAGCGCCCAGACTACTAATGACCCGCTACTCCTATCCAGACCTCGTGACGCACTCGAGTTCTCTTCAGCAGCAGGCCGATATACAAGAAGACTCCGCCCACGCCGTAAGCCTCCCAACACCACGTACGTCCCTCTTACATGCCCCTGCCTTGTCTGTCCCACAGGCCCTTCACCTCCGCCCAAGGACCACCGCCATACCACACTGGCTTCCTGTGTGCGCAGCCTGGCTATGGCTGTCACACTAGCTGCGCCCTGGAGCTTCGTCTCCCTGCGCCCGTGTGCTCCCCCTTCAACTCTG